CCATATCTGAGGATGTCTGTAGGAACAGACGAAAGCTTGTAAAAATAATAAGAACTCATGCAACAGAGATTTATAAAAACAAGGATCTTTTCATTCATAAACAGGTTCGGGGTTTTTGTATATTATTTGAATTGTTCGCGACGATGGATTTCTCGCCAATTAAATCATTAACCTTTGTATTTGTTTTTTTTATGAATAATTCCATGAATTTGTAAATTAATTGCACCTTTATTGAAATATATATATATATATATATATATATATATATATATATATATATATATATATATGTATAACAGAACTGCCTGTGAATGGCATAAAAATATATTTTCAATTAAGCACTGTTGAATGTCAAGCTAATTCTAAAAACAACAGTCACCTGCGTAGATTGGAAGATCTTCCGTAAAATGAATGAAGCTCTATGACTGCTTGGCATTTGTTTATGTTTGTTGAAATAGATAGCTACAAAGATAGTTATGAATAGGTTGAAATATATAGATAGATAGTTTTGAGCTGATTCAGATAAGTAATACACACATATGCGTGTGAGGTGTGTGCATATATTACTTATCTAAATCACCTCAAAACTATCTATCTATATATTTAACTATTCATCTCTCTCTATATATATATATATATATATATATATATATATATATATATATATATATATATATATATATATATATATATATATATATATATATATATATATATCGGGGTATAGTAACGACAGCAATGTAATATTTAAAGAACAATTCCTTCTATGATTTAATCGATGTTTTTTTGCTATGAGCTTTTACTAAATTTATTTTGTGTAGAGAGCGTTTTAAAACACATACTTAATTTAACCGATTTTAAGAAAATTCCATGAAAATTTATTTAATTTAAAATGCAGCGCAAAGAGATATTCTCTATTTGAAAACTTTACTTAGAACAACAGTCAATAAATGTAATATATATTCTGCCCATAATAATTTCTAAACTTAAAATATCTAAATGTTTGTCCCTCTTGATTAACGAAAGATAAAGATTTAGACCTTGATATCAATAACAAGATTAAGGAACTAGATCAATATATGGTCCATACACATACTTAGGAATTAATAAAGGAGATTGAAAACAACATTCAATTCGGAAGAAAAAGGTCCGAAAACAATATTATAGGAGAGTGAGTTTATTACGAGACGGCGAGCTTAATGGAGCCAATAAAATAAAGGCTATCAACATGTTATCCATACCCGTAGTAATATACAGCTTCAACATTATTAAGTGGATGTTGAATGGCATTAAAAGATTCGTCGCCAAGACCCGAAAAATGTACCCAAATGAGGATGCACCAACACAGAATCAGAGGTTGATAGGTTGTACTTGTTAAGAGCTTTGCTCCAACTTGAACCAACTCTGAAACCTGAAACAATCGGATTGTAAGTATGCCTCACAAAAAAAAAGCTAATGGCCCTATCTAACAAATAGTAAAGCACCAAATCAACTCCGTCAACAAAACAGCTTCACATTTCAAGAAACAGTTTAATATACCTGAAAACCTACGAATAAAAACAAAGTGAATATCATTTATGTCAAACGCTTAAAACAGAAAGCAAAACAATTTGGCAAAATAAAATTCCCCCCCAAAATATGTGAGGACAATATGCTCCATGCCAAATACCTAAAATGAACGAAAGAAGCGGATGTGAGCCAACAGAAATGACATCAATGGCTGAGGTGCATCGGGTTGAAAGCTAAGACAGAAGACCTAATTATTTCAACCTCGCAACCAGATTTTATCACTGTCAGGATCCGTGGAAAATATGATGAAATTGTCGACCATATCTCAGGATTTCCGGAACTAGCAAAAAACGACTATCCTCACACGCATAATAAAGTAGTGACATACGTACAATGGAAGATATGTGAGAAGCACAAAATCGAAACCACTGAGAAATATCATGTGAACTAACCATACACAGTTATCCAAAATAACGATGTAACTATCCTCTGGGACATACCAATTCAAACTGCCAGGGGAATAACATTAAACAGATTTGATATTATCATAACAGACAAGAAATTCAGGAAGCGTATGCTTATTGATTTACCAGTACTATCTGAGAGTAATAGCTCCATGAAAATTATCGAAGAATTGTCCAAATACATGGAAGTGGAGATCGAGATTAAGAGGATTTGGGGAATGAAGACTGAGACTGTACAAGTTATAAACGGAGGTTTGGGTCTCGTGATAAAAGACATGGACAAAATTAGTACCAGTCATAGTAGGTGCGTTTCGAATGATTAAAAAGGAAGACAACAGCACATTGAAAAAAATCCCTGGAAACCCCAGCTCGAGAGAAATACAAAAAATTGAGTTGATAAGTACAGCCCACACACTAAGAAGAACTATGTCCATGTAACTCTAGTGATGTTATGGGATTTAGAAAAACAAATCATTAAACGTAGCTATAACAACACACCACTACCTGTCTTAGGTTTTCCGACAGAATTGCTCGATAGTGGGATCATTATTATTATTATTATATTGGCTTCATAATAATATTAGGTTGGTGCAAAAATAATGACGTAATAATGTCGTTTTTTGACGTATTTTTTAACGTAAAAAAACGACATTATTACGTCATTATTTTTGCACCAACCTACTAATAACTGACTGGAGATTTTAATATGTACATCTTTTTTTTAGTGATTTCAGATGGCTACAGTAAGTATCCTGTTCAATACCACATATCTGATTGTCAGCTGCTTGAAATTATCCAGTTGGGCATGTGTCTCCCGGGCTGACGCACGCCACTGCATAACCGCTTATGAATTGTAGCTGTGGGAAAAAAAATCATACCTGGGTGTCAAGAGGGGTGGGTTGTTATTTTAGGTTTTGAGGGATGATGCAAACCAAGCGAATTTATATATTTGGGTATACCCTCAATTGGCGACAAATTGAGCGGACTGTGTTTATAAAGCTGAAGGTATTTCTAACTAGGCCTTGTCTAGGAGATTTAATCTTTTGCTCAGCCAATACAAGGCCCAAGATGTACTTAGAGTAGACGGTTATAGAATGATGTTCTCTTAAATAGAGGAATCATGATCGGCATATTATGTAGACATAGTGTTAGAGTGTTGACCCTCGAATTGAAGACGTTACGATCGTAGCGATCCAGAAGGCTCCTTTAGAAGAAGCTGCATGTTAAACTTCTTCGTTGCAAATGGAATACGAAGAGAATGGATATGAGTTGTCTCTGTCTACATGATATGGCGGATCCTTGCGGTGAAAGCCCGAACTGACCGAATTAAGGAATGTATTTTCTTGGAACACTTATCATGAAAATAACGAAAAATTATCGTGAGTTTAGCAATATTTCGTATATGAAGAAATAGGTTGCAGAGTGGTAAATAAGACCAGGCCAAAAATGTTGAACTCTGTCAATACTAGATAAGTGAGGATTGGCAGCCCCGATATTCTTATCGAGTCGCTACACAGCACCCAACCGGATCCTGCAGGCAAAACATTGCCTGGAATATTAAGGTTACAAGGCCGATTAGCGTACATGAATGATCAAGATTGGGACAAACTAGAATTCTATATAGTTTGTTATTGCCTGTCGTTGCAGTTAGAATCATCGTCGGCTGCATAATCCCATTTCTGAAGTTTGGCTTTAAAGAGACCAACAGCTGTTTGGGGGCGATTCAGGCAAGACCAGAAGATCAAGGACAAAGGGCGGGTTCTGCAGGGATGAGAGAGTATGTTTCCAACCTTCTTACGGCGGCTACACCACTGGCAGTGACGCTGAATAGGAGCTCATTTGTTCTGTGGTTCGACTGAATGCAAAAATCTGAGACTTGACTTGAGTCTCCTTTTCAGTGGTTCACAGCCATGGAGTGGATGACGAGGGTCAGTTTCCTGCTTCAACTTCTCCCACTGGGAGTGTAGTGTCATTCTGATGTAAGGGGGAGCAATGCCAAGTAGAGGCCATATAATTTTGTTGGCTTAAAACAGCCAGTGATTGATCTACAAGACGTTTTTAAGGCAGGATCAATTTTCATTTCATGCGATGATCTGCACTACACTGGTGAGGCATATTCTGCTGTGGACTAGCAAAGAATATGGAGCTATTGCTAAAGTTTTCTATCACCCCCGATTCGAGACCGTCGAGGTAATCTCGGTAGATTTCTTTTAAACTCTGAACCTGTTTCTCTGAAATCTTCAACGCATAGCAGTATAGATTTTCTATCTAAAACAGAATCATTCCGACATAACATGAAAGGAGCGCATATATATATATATATATATATATATATATATATATATATATATATATATATATATATATATATATGACTATCATACAATAATTGAGCGTGTCCCAATACCTAATAAATAATGGACTATTCTGTTTTGTTCGTGTGGAAAGACAAGACATATCACGGACACTATTTGCTTTCAGGGAAAAAAATCAAAAGAAAAATAGACGTAACTAATGTCTCATGCTAATACCTCATAAATAATGGACTATTCCGTTTTGATCGTGTGAGAATACAAAATACATATCAAAGACGCAACTTATTTTCATTCAGAAGATAGAATTGTTTAACATCTATTTCAGTAAAATGGAAAAAGTTGACAATTTCAAATCTTTTTATTTGTACCCACTTACTTCTTAAAATAACGACCAGCATTCATATTTATGATTTTGTTAAAGTTGTAAAAATCAAGTATTTAACTACGCAATAAAGGAATTCCTATAGATATTTTATTCTCGTAGAACTCGGCATAAGCTTATTCAATCATTAACTGAAAGAAATAGTGTTCATCAGAAATTCTAAATAGCAAAACAGCGGACTTTTCACGGGTTAAAACTAGTATAGGTTCAATAGGAATATTGGTAGCTTTGAGAAGACTTAGCGTTATTCTTTTTCTAACTTGTGATAAGGTGACATAATTTTAATATTAGCAAAGGGTACAGAACAAGACATAAGAAAAGTTAGTCGAGATGACTTACAACTTGTTTTCTTTCATTCCATACGAATACTATTTACGTATTCTTTCCCTTTGCACAATTTTGGGTTTCATTACCGTAAGAATGGCCATAAAGAGAAAACGTCAGAATTGCGCTGTACTCTTCAAGATTTGTAGGTTTGAAGCACAAAGCATATGATCTAAGCTACAATACATTTGGCAGCCGCTCGGCCTTACCAAAATAATAAATAAAACGAAACGAAACAAATAAATGAAAAAAGAGAAAGAGAGACGCAAAGTAGCAAGAGAGAGAAGAACATCTTCGCTTATCTTCAGTTTCCATCTCAAGCAAAAACGATCTAACATTTTTCATTGATTGATATTATCGTCATAATACATGAAACTGCTTCGGTGTATCAAAGGAAACCCTGAAAAACCAGAGACGAGAGCGTGAGAAAGAGAAATGAAAAAATAATAAATCATATGTTTTCTAATAGAACGAAATGATAGCAATAATTCTGTTAGGGGGTTTGAGGGAACGGGAAAGCGCCTATTTATTTGAAATGCAGCTCAGTAAATACTTACAGTTTGGGCTTTATCTTCTTTCGTCTGTTCAGAAGCCGAACAAGCCGTTTGGCAAAAATTCCAAAACTTAATTCTATGTCATATGACATATGGAAAATAGAAAATTGTAGAAAGCTGTGGAATGGATTTTCAAATTCTTATTTCTCTCCCATTCAATTAGTTAGAAGGACTCATAGAAAGCTAGATGCTATTCTACTATTGGTCATATAGAGAATAATCCATTGAAAATTGATTTGATGAATCTAAATTCATGCATTCGACTTTCGGAAAGAAGATTTATTCTAACTTACTAGTTTTTCCATATATCTAAACTATATAATAAAATTTAAGAAAGTGAAAGATTCATTGAAATATGTAGAAAATGTACAAATTTTTGTCTGAAATAAAGAAAATACGAACATAAGAAATGATCTTAATATATCACTCTCTCATATCTATCTATCTATCTATCTATCTATATATATATATATATATATATATATATATATATATATATATGTCAATCTGTTCATATCTATCAAATACTTATAGCTAATTCAATCGTCTTATATCTATCTATCTATCTATCTATCTATCTATATATATATATATATATATATATATATATTCATGTCAATCTGTTATCTATATCTATCTATCTATCTCATTCTTATAGCTACTTCAATCGTCTTATATCTATCTCTATCTATTCTATCTATCTCTGTCTCATCTATCTATCTATCTCATTCCGTTCACATCTATCTATCTATCTATCTATCTTCCGTTCATCTATCTATCTCTATCTTATTCCGTTCACATCTATTCATATCTATCTATCTAACCTATCTATCTATCATCTATCTATCCTATATCTCATCAATTTCAATTTCAGACTATTCATATCTATCTGTCTCAGTTTATATATATCAATTTCAGTCTGTTCATAACTATCTATCTATATCTATCTATCTATATCTATCTATCTATCTATCTATCTATCTATCTCATCTATCTATCTTTTGGACTCTATCTATCTCTCAGTCTATATCTATCCTGTTCACTATCTCATCTATCTATCTCATTTCCGTTCATATCTATCTATCTATCTATCTCATCCATCTATCTATCATCATCTGTCTCAGCCAATTTCATATCTATCAATTTCAGACTATTCATCTATCTATCTGTCTATCTATCTCAGTTTATCAATTTCAGACTATTCATATCTATCTGTCTCAGTCTATATCTATCAATTTCAGTCTGTTCATAACTACCTATCTATCTATCTATCTATCTATCTATCTATCTATCTATCTATCTATCTATCTCAGCCTATATCTATCAATTTCAGACTATTCATATCTATCTGTCTCAGTCTATATCTATCAATTTCAGTCTGTTCATAACTACCTATCTATCTATCTATCTATCTATCTATCTATCTATCTCACACTGGCCATATCCATCTAACTATTCCAGGCTGAATTATTATGTAGAGCGTGAAACAATTTTGATGTGTCATTTTCCCTATATAATCTTCGATCCTTTGGGCACCCAGAGGTAGTGTAGTGGTTAGCAAGCTTGTCTCGCTAGAAAAATTACAACTGAGTTCGATCCTTACTAGGTGCCCCACACTTTCGACCTTGTGCCAAATCTTAGCTACACTTGGATAATCGCTATAATCTTCCATCCTAATATTAATTACAAATGTAAATTGATTAAAATTACTAATAATGCGTTACTAATAAATGTTATTCGTTATTACACGGCAAACTTACTAACGTACTCCACTATATATTAGACCGGTTTTTCAGGATTTTTTTTTCCTGTAAAATTCTTCTATATATGATAACAATAGCGTGCCACCTATGCGTATTTAAACTGGAAATGTAGCGTTCCAAAATGAAAATATCAGAAACAATCTAATAAAAACTCTACAACATGGACGACATCAACACTCCCAATAATAACCAGAGAAAGTCGAAGGAACTCTGACGAAATAAGAATTATGGACAGTCACTCTGTATATGTGTACGGGTGTGAGCCAACTTTTGCATCCAGCGGAAAAATAAAACAAAAAATTAAATACACTGACCTTGTCGACTTAATTCAACAAAACCTAATTAAATCGTTGTTATATATATATATATATATATATATATATATATATATATATATATATATATATATATATGTGTGTGTGTGTGTGTGTGTGTGTTATGTGTGTGTGTGTGTGTGTGTGTGTGTATGTCTGTGTGTGTTTATATATATATATATATATATATATATATATATAAAATATATATGTCTGCGTGTGTATATAGATATATGTCTCTGTATTTGTGTATATATATATATATATATTGTGTTTGTATATATGTATATATATATGTGTATGTGTGTTTGTATATATATATATATATATATATATATATATAGTGTGTGTATATATATATGTACGTGTATATGCTTGTGTGTACGGAAATAACAGAAACTTGCTTTGCATAATTAAAGATAGCTGCAAGCGGCATCGTCTAACCTGTGTCAACTTTCGTTAATAAGATAGGAACTATGGCGTGTCACTGTGGAGGAATGTCTACTTAGCCTCGCAGATTAATCCTAGTGCATCGCGTTCGATCCAATCTTGCGGCCTTGTGCTGTGCAGTGCAAAATTTAATAAATGTCAATATTTAGAAACTTTCATAACAACATTTCGTTATATGCGATTCTATGAAAACTTTTTATAAAATGCATTACAATTCTGAAAGTCGTTTGTGACTATTTAGAGGAAGCCTACCTTCGTACCTTATGTTATATATCTGTACATCAATCTTTCATGACTCCAAATGCAAAATTAAACCATTTAGAGGAAAAATCAAAGGAGAACTGTAATTAATTATTAAAAAATGAAAAAGAATGTTTTTAGGGGAAGAAGATAAGACACTTCCTTTTGTAAGAACGAATAAGCACTTCATTGCAAAAAAAAACAATTAATTTAAGGAGAAAACTTATAAAGTTTATTTAAAAAATGAGGCACTTTGTCTTGTGGAAGAAAAGCTTTTATTTCTTTACAGTTGAAAAAATAGGCTTTTCTTTCCAGGAAAAAAACAACAAAACAAAACAAACAAAAACAAAACAAAGTAGGCACTTCTTTTCAGTAAAAACAAAAGTAGTCAATTCTTTACCGGAGAAAATACTTAGCCACTTCTTTTCAGCAAATACAAAATTAGAGAAGTTTTTCCAGGAGAAAAAATTAGACATTTCTTCATCAGGGAAAAAGCATTACGCTTTTTTTTTTTTAGGGGGAAAACAAAATTTCACATTTCTTTCCAGGAGAAAATAAAATTAAGCACTTCTATTCAGAACTTCTCATTTTTCGATCTCACTTCCGGCTCCATGTTTAATGTGCAAAAAACTAAATAAAATTTCGAACGCTATCTACTGTCATCCTGATTACTCTTTTCTATTGCCACTCGTTATTAATATATCTGTTCTTAATTCTTCCTCACCCAGTAAACCCTTGTATCTTAGTAGCTTTACTGTAAAGGAAAAATATATTTGGTATTCTAAAAAGGTTTAATGCACTAGACACTTCAAAAAAAGAGTGATCTATGCAAATAACCAATAGAGGGTTTTCATAGATAAGAAATCCTGAGATGGTATCAGTGATGGTATCAGTAGTATGTTGAAAATATGAAAAGGTAATATACTTTTTATTTGAAACTATCATCCTGTTCATAATCTTCCCCAGTCTTTTGAACAGATATACAGGTTTATCCCTTGGACCTTTATATATATATATATATATATATATATATATATATATATATATATATATATATATATAAAAAAGAAAGGAAAGTCAGATTTATAATCCAGAGTTCTTTAACATTTACTTTTAAAATCAGTGTTCGATACACAGTAGGACATAACATTATATTATTGTTATTTAAAAATATGTATTCATCACGACACAGAAATGACCATGTTTCGGAACCAAAACTTAAACCTTTAAAGAAACTTAAAATTAAAGTTTTTGTTCCATTCTCAAACGATGTAGATTAACTTTCGAAAAAAAAATTGGTGGGGGAATTTGATTGCAAACTTTTAATGGGGCGTTGTCTTTTTTGACGAATCAGGATACAAGTATAATTAAAGATGGCAAAGTAAATATAGGTTAAGGGTTAGGTGTGGGTTTGTAATTTCTGACTGTCAATACTGGCTTCCTTATATGAGAACGTATTATCATTTCTGTTTTTTTTTATTATTTTGGGGCGTACAATACATTGACATTTTTATTTATAGCCTACTAATATAATAAATATAGTATTTCATATATATATATATATATATATATATATATATATATATATATATATATATATATAAGTGTGATTGTGTGTCTGTGTGATGCTGTTGACTCACAAACTGAGTATGACCATCACTGACATGTCCAGCCCTTCAGTTAAACTCCCCAAAACTCTGCATTCATCGGTTGTGTGAACGACAGTGGCTCATAAAGCCAGCCATCGATCTGCTTTTCTTGTCACATATGTGGCATATTAAATCATCTCCTGGTGGTGGCAGTTGATTTTGATCATGATCACTTCAATTTTATATGCCTTGTCAGGCCCGACCTGGATTGCACACCCTAGTGCAGGTCGGCTATTCAAAGCATGACATTACGAAATCGTCATATAAAATAGACCGTTCGTGTGATTTCTGGTGACTGAGCAGACCCGCTCTGGACATATCCGATTGCATTGGGCACATGGCCAGATTGGCACCTCATGGCAATTCAGAGATCCCTTCTGAACCCCACTCTTCAGTTCTGCATATTTTTGATACCTCATAGAAGAGCAATACCAGCTCTCCACAAAACCCGGTTTTCAGCTAGTGCCTCTCAGTTATCCAGACCAATATTTCACCTTTATAGTGACTCTTTAAGGCAATCTTTGTAACGAAGTTTGGGGTTGTGCTATGGTCTATTCCCCATTTTCAATTCTCCAAACATTCATTGTTTTGGAATTCTGTCATCCGCCATACGGACAACATGGCCCGTCCATCGCAATTTGTGCTTGTGTAGAAGTGCTTCCACAGGGAGTGAATTTACCCTTTGCAGAACAACAGTATCAGGGGTGTGAGACATCCAGAGGATTTCAAGCACAGATCGAAGGCAGTGTTGATGTAGTCTACGATAGACTACACATGTCTCACGTGAATACAGCAGAGATGACATAACGCAGTCGTTATATATATTTTAATTTATTATGCCCTTCTGACTCCAGACACGGACCTTGAGTACCTCAATTGCATAGGGGGCGTTCTTAATCCGTAACGTTATCTCATCATCAAGAGGCGGTTGAGGGTGCAACCAGGGTATATAAATTTGTCTACTACCCAAAGTCGACTACCATCAACATAAATTGATGTCTGCATATAATGAGTTCTTCGAGTTGGTTGATACAGGGCGACTGTCTTGTGAAGGCTGATGGACAGTCCAAAAGCCTTACATGATCCTTATAGTCGATCCATGAACTCCTGTGCGTACTGAACTGTGTGTGCGACCAGTTTCCAGTTATCGGCGTAGAGAAGGTTGCCCACTAAACTCAAAAAGTCCTTTGTCCTTTCAGCAAACCTACGTATGTTGAAAAGCTTGCCAGTTGACCTGTATCTTATCATAACACAATCATGGTAGTTTCCGAACGCACTAAGCAGTACAATTGCAAATTAAATAGAAAACAATGTAGGAGCAAGATGAACACCCTACTTGACTCCATTTTCAACCTTGATGCACCCCGTAAGTATAACGCCAAAACAGACACAAGCTTCCATATCGTTATGGAAGGACTTCAGAATCTTCATAAAGTGGGAAGGGGACTGCCCAATTTCAAGAGGATTTTCCAGAGACCAGCACAATTAACAATGTCAAAAGCCTTCCTCAAATCTACAAATATTTGATCAAGGTTCATTTGTTGTTCACAGCTCTTTTCTTGAATTTGTCGTTACGAGAAAATCATATCTGCAGTCCCCGTGTGTTGGTCGAAAGGCAGTATATTGTAAACTATGCTCTAGTTTAATCTTAATAGGAGAACAGAGTTTAAGATCTTACCTGCCGAAGAAAAGAGAGCAATCCCTTGATAATTACCACATAATTTCTGGGCACATTTACCCTTAGATATCGGAATCATTGTTGTATCTCTCTCATATTTTGGCACTTCTACATATCCCCAAACCTTTATAATAAGATCATGCATAAGTTGACTTAAATGTGTTCCACCATAACGGAACATCAGAGCAGGAAGTTCGTCAACACCAACAGCCCTGCACATGTTGAATCCCCCCATGCAACGCAGAAACTCGCCCAGCAATGGTTGCCTACCAAGTTCTATTTTTCTCGCCCGAGTCCATCTATTCACATCTACAAATCAAACATTCGCCCTTGCATGGAATACTGCTGGCATATATGGTCTGGTGCCCCGCTGTTCAGCTTAAGGTCCTCGACAAAATTCAGAGATGTATATGCAATGTGATTGGTTCTGATCTGGCATCTCGTCTGTAGTCTCTCTCTCACAGACGTGGCGTCGCTTCCCTCTGCCTTTTCTACAAATACTTTCACGGTAAATGATACGACGAGCTACTTTCGCTAGTTCCCAGACTGCATGAATTTAAGCGTGCTACTAGGCTGGCATCACGGTCTCACACTTTCTCTGTCGAAACGGTTAAATGTAGCCGTCTCTTCTACTCCAATAGCTTCATGTCTCGCACCTCCCGTCTGTGAAATTCCCTTCCTATTATTTGTTTCCCCTGATAACTATAATCTCCAACTTTTGTAATGTAATGTAATGTCAATTAACATCTCCAGATGCCCTAATCTATTCCCTGTACTTCTCTTCATCTTTTCCTCCATGACGCCTCTTTACTCTCGCTCCCACTCTGTAAACCCTTGCGTGCTCGTGGCATCGTGCCTTGCTTGCGATGAAATGCTTAATATATATATAAGGAATATAAAGGAAACAGATATGATAAAGCTAGCCGAAGAAAAGACAAGGAATCTACAAGGACGCCAGGAAATTGAAACAATATTCACCTCAAAACGGCGGAAATATCATCACCATAATGCATGTATTGGTACGTTCTCGTAACAATCTCAATTCAAGCATCTTATCTATTGTCGAAGTCTGTTTTCAAATTTTGTTAGCGTAATCGTTACGCCTCCGGCATGTCTTTTGGCAAGCAGGAAAAAAAAAAGCCACACGACGGACAACAACACTCGTAATAAATATGCAACAGAAATATGAATATAGTTAAAAAAATAAAGGGGGAAAAAGTTCTAACTTGTTCGATCTGTTTTTTTTTTTGTTTCGGCTTTAAACATATATTTTGTAAAGATGAACTTGCATAGATTTATTGCGCATATGGATATCCTTGGAACATTCGAGAACAGACTGCTACTGACGCCATTGTTGTACGTGCGGTAAGCTAAGCGAGTGTGTAACATTACAATCAGTCCTCATTTTTAGGGGTTTTTTGGGGTTTTTTTTTCAGTATTTACCTCTCATCCGGCACATTATTCTTTACGCTTCTCTTGCTTTTTTGTTTGGACGTTCTATTTGTTTAGATTTTTTTCTTTTTGACGACTTAGCTTTGTTTGTTTGTTTTTTTACGTAATTTTAGCACCGTTTTGTTCCTTCTTTGATTTCGTTCTATGCAATGCTTCCCCCCCAATTTCTCTTCTAGAATCTTTACTATGCATTTATTTTATCATTTTATTTCTTTCTAATTTTAACATTTGATTTTTTTCTTTATTGAACTTTATATTTCTTTTTACCCTCTCTCCATACCTACAGAATTTTCTTTCTTTTTCTTCTTTTTCTTCTCTATTTGTGTTCTTTTTCCTCTTCTTTTCTTACCGTCACTATTTTAGTTCTTTTTACTCCTCTTCTCTTTATATTACACAAAGTTTTACAGCTCTCTCTATTTACCCCGATATAGCATCGTTCTCTTTATCCACGGGAGAAATGCCCTATGACCTCCGCCGCATGAGCCAACCGCGGATAATATGTACTATGTTTATATATAATATTTTTTCTTATACATAATTGAGACAAAGTTTCACAATTTATAAATTAAGGCAAACAGTAAATCATTATAAAATATAACATTTAAAGCGATGATAAAAGTTAAGAGAATTATAAAAGTTTTCTTTTTATCGTGGATCAGCATTCCATTATTTTCATTATATATGTATTACTAACATTATATATATATATGTATAATCATTATATGGCTACTCGGATCGACACTTATATGAAGAAGTCCGGTGGTTAAAACGGCCGAAATTTGGTGATTATTACAATAGATATGATCGTCCTGGGTAAGTCGATAAACTACATCCAACAGCAAAGCCTCTGATCAGGAGGTGTTGAGGAGCATGGAACCAGCTCTTAATTGCTGGCGTTCCCAGGTCCAACCTGACCCGGGTTGGTAGCATCTGTTAGGGTCCCAGCCATGGGTAAATAGTTAACCCCCAAACTGAGGTCAAAACACTATGAAAGTGTAAAAATAGGTTTTAATACGAGAAATACTTAGTAAAAAATTATTACCAGCAATACATTTTTGAAAAACAAATATTACCAGCAATAAAAAACATGTCGGCATTAAATAACCCATTGAGGTTGATATGCCGTAAAGCAAAACAAACCAAAACAAACCAAACAAAGATGATTGTGGTATTATTCCATATTCGAAAAAAAAAAAAAACGAATGCAATAACTCTACAGAACAGAAATTCAAGCATAAAAATTATTTACTCATAATTTCAAAATCTCTTACTTTTCCACATAACGAAATCTCATTCTTTTTATTTTTATGTGCCATGTCCTTTCATGGCGTAGGCGATCATGGCCCTCCACCTCCCTCTATCCCTTGTAGCTCTCAACAAGTTCCTTCCCTCTGCTTCCTCCCCCAGACCACGTTCTGTAATCCACCTACTCAAGCTCGTCAGTTATGTCACGCGCTACTTTCCCTTGTTTCTCTTTCCCTGTATTCGACCCGTGAGTATCAGATTCTCCAAGCCTTCCTTCCTCATTATGTGTGCCACAAACTTCAGCTGCCTCTTCCTGATATTACGTATGACTCCTCCTTGTTTGCAACCTAAGACCTTATCGTTGCTCAAACGCTCGGTCCATGATATCCTTAGCATCCTTCTGTAGAGCCACATCTCCTTCGCCTCGAGACTCTCCTTCATCTTTGAGGAAATCTTCCAACATTCGCTGCTATAAAGGACAGATGTCACGTAACAGCTCAGTATCTTTTTCTTTGTTACCAAAGAAATCTTCCTGTTTCGCAATACTCTTCCCAGCCATTGGATTTGGCATATCCGAAATGAGTTTACGGCCATATCACGTTGAAACATCGATTCCAATACAATCACTGAAGTTAAGCAACTTCGAGCCTGATCTGTATCTAGATGGGTGTCCCCTTCGGAAAACCAGATACTGCTAGCTTTGATGTGCGAGTGGTGTAATCAATAATGGTTCGTAATTATTAATCGGAGAGGCAAGTTCCAATTCCCGTTGGATTCATCATATTCCCTTACAACTGAGAAAGCTATGAATCCATTATTTATCCCCCAGCTACGGGCTAATTAGTCAGACGTGTATCACTAAACCATTATTATCTAAAAAATAAATTCTGGCTTTAAATAACCTGCAAAAGTTTGATAAACTGTAGAAAATCAATCTATCAACAAAATTACCATTAATATTACCTTTGTTCGTTGGGGTTTTTTTTGTTAACCAGGTATAAGACCGGTCATTTAAATAAACAATATTGGATGGATTATCGAATGTTATTCGATCTTCGTCCATGTTCTTATTTCAATCAGGACAGATGTTTACTTTGGTATTTATAACAAATTTATAAAATTTTAATATTTATTGAAAAAAAAAGTGTGTCGATTTATGAAAATATCTCATAAAGTCTTTCTAGGCCGCGGATAACTGAGACCGAGAATGGCTAAACCGCTGATAAGGGAATCCATTGAATATTATTTCATTTTCTTAACATTCATGTATTCTTTTGCTTTTACATTTTGTTGCAGATTGTTATCTTTTATATTATTTTTACTTTGACAGTTTTTCTTTTTTTGCTTACAAATATCTTTCTTTCTTTCTTTCTAATTTTCATTTTTTCTTCACTTTGTTTTCGTATTCCTTTTTCTTTCTTTTCTTGCTTTTTTAATTTTATTTTTTTTTCTTTCTTTCCAAATTCCCTTTACTTTTTAACTCTTATATTAGATTGACTTTTTTTTCTTTCTCCATCACACATTTCTTTATTTCTTTCTGGGGTTCTTTCTTTCATTTTTCTCATTTTGGTATCACTGACAATCAGATGTGACGTGTACTAACATATCTACGTCATCAAAGTCACACGCTTTTCAATGATGAAAAGATTTCAAGTCAAAGTATCGCACCATATTTCAAGGACGAAACACCTGATCCATTCCAGTAGCCATACGCACGGAGAACAATGTCCATAATAATGTGACTTCCTCTCAGATTGGAATCAACTTGATTACATTTAAAATACATATATAAAGACACGCACACACATAAATATATATATCTATAGAGAGAGAGAGAGAGAGAAAGATATGAACAGACTAAGATAGATATATAGATTGATAGATAAATATGAAGATAGATATATATATATATATATATATATATATATATATATATGAAATATAGATAGATAGATAGATATGAACATAAATAGATAGATAGATAGATATGAACATAAATAGATAGATAGATAGATAGAATAGATAGATATGAACATAGATGGATATGAACATCGATAGATAGATAGATATGAACGTCGATAGATAGATAAATAGATAGATAGATAGATATGAACATAAATATATATACATATATATATATATATATATATATATATATAGAACATAAATAGAGAGAGAGAGAGATAGATAGATATGAAATATAGATGGATATGAACATAGATAGATAGATATGAACATAGATGTATATGAACATAGATAGATAGATAGATATGAACATAAATAGATAGATGGATATGAACATAGATAGATAAATATGAACATAAATAGATAGATAGATAGATAGATAGATATGAAGATAGATAAATATGAACATAGATAGATATGAACATAGATAGATAGATAGATATGAACAAACTTAGATAAATATATAAAGGGTTGCCGAAATGTTCTTAAAACACAAGCAATTCCCCCATATCAGTTTTTCCATGATCAAACATCAAAAGACTGGTTTTTCGAAGTGTGTCGGCTGTAGAACTTTTCATGCCTACCTTTTACACTTACACACACACACAAACGCACGTACACGTATACGTGTTTATCCCCTTCTATCTTTCTCTCTTTGTCTATGTGTGTGGGATTTTACATTCCGCAATAAAAAAGAAAAAGGAAAGAAGTTTATACATCTAAAATATACAAAAAGTATCAGAGATGGGGGGGGGAGTGCTAGAAATATATTTCGATTACTATGTAAAGATGTTTGTGGTCTTTTTTTTTCTCTTTGATGAATTTGTGACAAACACTCTTAACCAACACACCGCTGTCCTGTGCTTTATATAACCCACCAGAAAAGAAAAAAAAAAGGTGAAAAATCACTACCAACTTTTCGTATTTCCTTAAATTACGAGTACAAAGGCAAACAATAAATTTCGCTTCGGGTCTGGTTCAAACAGATAACCATGTCAGACAATCCAATTTAATTTTTGTTCAACAGTGTTAGTTTTTCTTTTCAGATTGTCACGAACGGTGTAGGTACAGTCTTTAATCACAGAATCCACATTTTTCTCCGCTGCTAAACCTTTCGAAAGAAGATCTTTCTATATAACTTTGCGTAATTAGAACTAAACCGAAAGTATTTTGCAAAAAAAAAAAAAGAAATACCTTGTACGATCGGCCTGGTCCCCTCTCCGAAAATGTGATTAGACTTGAAAATGTTTACCCTCAAAGCTACGCAAGACGCCTTATTTTAACTTGTGATGAAACTGTTAGAAAAAAATCTTAACAAATTACATGCAGGAGAGTACTGAACTGTTATGTAGTATCAGTCCACCTATATAGCACTTAATGCACGGCAATCTCTCCTCGCAGATGAAGAAGAGATTTGAAGCAAAAGAAACGTAGCTCTACAGAAGGATGCTGAGAATACCATGCGCCGGATATGTGAACAAATGCGAATTTCTAGAGACAATAGCAATAAAAAGTATGAATATGTTTAACATCAGGAAGAGAAGTTGAAATTTCTCGGGGAAATAATGAGGAAAATGGGCTTGGAAGATCTGACATTCACAGGAGAGATTGGAGGGAAAAGATCCAGAGGAAATGTATGCACATCCTTATTACCTGAAGGTTTGGGAGAGATGGTAAAAGCACAAAAGTTATTACGAGCTACGAATGACAGGAAATTGTGGAGAGTCATACTCGCCAACGTAAATATGTATATAGAAGAATATGTAATGTTGCATAAAGACTATTATTTAAATAGATTTAGGAAGTTTGACACAGTTAAATAGTGCTCATTTAGGACTCGTTAAAAATGGTCGACCAGATTTTCATGCTAAGCATGTTTCTATGATTGGCATATTTCTAATTCAGTATGGTTATTTTTTAAGATTAGTCTACTCTGGCCCGAGGAGATAGTATTTGAGCATCGTCAAAAGCACAATAACTAGATTAACTTAACAACACTTCTGGCGCTGGCTTGACTGCAGGATTTGACCAGAGGTTAGCAATTTATTTATTGGATATATATATATATATATATAGAGAGAGAGAGATAGTAATCCGTTGGTATAATCCAGGGGACATAGAATTTGATAAATTTTAAAACTGACTCAGAAAAGAGCGGTCTCAAAGGCTCTCCTAGCTCCATAATATAATTCCAGTAACGGTGCCTTCTTCTCCTCACACCTCCCAATAAGTCCCCTATAACATACTCTCTCTTTCTTTCTTTCTCCAAATAAACAGTACCCTATAAATTGATACCATAAACAGTTTGAAAATCTTGCGAATTTTAAAATTAAAATTCAGATGAAATGGTCATTTACTAATGGTGTCTTAATTTCAATTGAAGAGTGCATATATATATATATATATATATATATATATATATATATGTGTGTGTGTGTGTGTGTGTGTGTGTGTGTGTGTGTGTGTGTGTGTGTATTTACAGCAATTCTTCTTTTCATGCACATTTCATTGAATACGACAGACAAGGTGTGTTTGATTTCGATTTTTATACAATTTATCATGCGATCTTACAATTTTTTCTTTTCGGATGATAAATTATATAAAAAAAAAACTGTACAATTTCTTGTTAACAGTTAATATATTACAACCTTGAAAATGCTTAAGAGTAGATTCGAAATCGCTCGGAAAGCAAGAATTATTGGACAAAATTTATATAATTTATCATGCGAAAAGAAACATTATTAGATCAATTAGATGAGTAATTGTATAAAAACCAGATTAATGCAACTTGTCTGTTGTATCCAATGAAATATTCATATATATATATATATATATATATATATATATATATATATATATATATATATATAACAGTGTAATGAGTGTTCGATAATCGGTATGGATAATTCTAAAGAGGGTGTAATCCAGAGAACTTAATGTAACAATAGAGCAAATATTAATTAAATAATAAAACAAAGCAACCTTAAGGTTCGATGACTATAATTTATTTCCCCAGAAAATATATTCTCTCAAATTCATGGATCAATATCTTAGTACTGTACAAAACTGAGTAAGAAACACGCTGTAGTTTTCATATTTCTTTTATTTACTCATCCAAGATCATCTTCAGGTCTGAATTGCTAAGACAAAAATTAATGTAATTGAGAGTTGTGAATTTTTTTGTAAATGTGCATAAAACGCGCTCTATATTTATAGTTATATTCAATTTACGTTAAGAATATTTCATTCAAATCACTTCTGAATGTAAAAGAAATAATCAAAACTACGGTATCATTCATACTTAATTTTTTAAGAGCACAAAGATAGTGATTCGGGAATTTGAAGGATTTAAGATAAAAATAGACGTAATATGTCTAGATTATTCAGCCAAACCTGCTTGAATGAAGATATACTGTCAAAATATGCATACATACATACATACATACATAAATATGGCAAACCGTGTATCAATAAGTAGTAAAATTAAGTTAACAACAATGACGCTATAGCAAGAGCCTGTAACTGAACTAAGTGTAATCCGATTCATTTTGCATTTATTTGTCGTAGCATTAAGACGTAAGTGATCATGGTCCTCCCCAATTTCCTGTACTTAGCCGTAACAGCTTGTTACGTAGGTTTATGTCTGTTTCCTTCTGTCTGTCTTGATTTCAATATATCTTTTCAGTGCAAAATTCTCTTATGAGGAAGGGTCATCATTGTGACCCAGAAATTTCAAATCTCAAATCTCTCTCTGACTTTAAGTAAAAGTCTACTTTTTGCTTCCATTTTAATTAAATTTTCTTACATTTTTTTGTCTTTGTATACTCAGCGTCCTTCTATCGAATGATATTTCTGTTGCTGCAGTTCTCCGCTTCATCAGAGTGAAGATTTTGTTTTTAATCATACTACCACAAGCAAGACGATAATGCCATGAAGGCTCATGTCTTATTGGGAATGAAAGAAAACGAGAAGCCTTTAAGAGAAGAAGCCGGAAACACGACCTTAAACAGGAAACAAGGAATAAAACTTTATATTCAAAAGATGTGGAATGAGATTGAACCGGGTTATACGCGATCTTATCTAGTGTTATTTAACCTAACTACTCTTCGACTGTCCAGAATTCACTACCATATAGATAGACTGATGTTCTATTGTATTTCATCAATACTTTCTTCGTTTCTGATGATATTTATAATGGAAGACGGTTCTCCCTATTCCAATGTGAATTCGGATTTTGAAGTCACATTTTCAACATTCTGTCACAACATTTTTCAGACTTTTAAATGTTTGTATTTTCTTTACTTTTGGTGGTTACAATTCAAAGTTCGTATTTTGGACCTGTTTCCTGCGAGGCAATCCGATCTGGGAAATCAACATAAACATTCATAACATTAATACACTTAATATCGTACAATTTCTTAAATAAAAATGTATTAATAAATAAATTTAAAAACGACATTAAACACATATTCTATATAAAGAAAAGTTGAGTATCATTTACCAAGAATTCAGTTGTGAAAGCGGATTAACATATTATATTTTTATTAATTCAAATCCCCCCCACCCTAAAAAAATTAAAGTTCGGTATTATATGACCCATAAGGTGTTGTTGATTTGACGTTAAACAAATCACCTAACCAATAGAGCCTGAAGACTTGAAAATGAAATCGCACGTGAAACGTTTGAAGCAATTTGGACAGAAAGTTAGAAAGTTAGAGAGGATGAAGATTATCCTGAATAAATTGGAAAATGATTCTCGAATATTATATATATATTTGAACTTAATTTAATTCTTCATGAGCTTCCGGCCTTTAGCTCTGATTAATTAATGATGGACATGACATTTCCGTTTATGATCGAATTCATCACGATTCGTTTGTTTAACTAGGAGAGTAATTATACAATATTATTGTTCACAGTGGAGTGCAATAGTCTTACAAAAACATTGAAAAATTCCAGTAAGATATTTTTAATCATTTCTAAGACATAACAGTAGAAAGCCTACTTCAACAAATGGACAATTTTGTTTTACACGATTTTGACGATTTTTCTGTTACAAACTCCTATATATATATATATACATATATATATATATATATATAGTTGCATAATACACTTTAGATACATCAAAGGTGGTCTTCAGTGATGCACTGTCCTCATCGCCGATTTCGGGTTTTGCATCATATATATATTAGGGTAATGAGGGTTCGATAATCGGTATGGATAATTCTAAAGGGGCTGTAATCCAGAGAGCTCAATGTAACAGCAGAGCAAATATTAATTAAATTTTGAAAAAAGACAAGCTTAAGTTTCTATGACTATAATTTATTTCCCCAGTAAATATATCCACTAAAATTCATGGATTAATTTCTTAGTAATGTACAAAACTGAGTAAGAAAAACGCCGTAGTTTTAATTATTTCTTTTATTTACCCTAAATACTTTCAATTTTAACCAAGATCATTTTCAGGGCTCAAACAGCAGCCCTGATATGGCTTGAACAGAAAATGTAAGTGTCTCGTAACAGAACGATGGTTCCATACTCCCGAAAACTTTTTATGAAATATACAAGAAGAAAAATCAAATTAGTTATAAACATGTGTTTAAAATTATATCAGAAAATTAACGTGTACAGGCAAGAAAAATAAAAAAAAATTCAAAATTTGATCATGACGAAGAAAAAATTCAGACTGTCAGTCGAATTATACTATTCCTGATAT